TCCTTCTGTGCCAAATGCCATTGGACTTTTGGAAATGTTCAAATTCCCTGCTGTAAATGATGTCCCATTGTCCGTGACCAATACTTCTGGGAGTCCGTGCATCGTGAACGATGCTCGCAGCTTCTTGATCATCATCCCGAATTTGCCCAACAAACTTTAAGCACGTCCAACCACTCTGAATGGGCATCAACAACGACCAGGAACATTGAGCCCATGAAAGGACCAGCACAGTTGACATGCAACCAAGTCCATGATTTACCTAGCCATTCCCATAAATATGGGGGTGCTGCTGGTGGCAATTTTTGTCCTTGTTGGTGCTCTGGGCATTGCCCCACCAACAAAGCTCTGTCTGCATCCAACCCTGGCTACCAAACATAGCTTCTTGCCAACATATTCATCTTGGAAACCTCTGGATGACCCTGGTGGAGTTTGGCCAGTATCTGGCAGCGAACTTTACTCGGGACAATCACCCTTGCTCCCCACAGTAATATGCCATCCCCGACTGTGATCTGGTCTTGCCGGGTGCAAAAAGGTTTCAATCCGGGTTGCGATGACCCTTCTGCTTCTCCAATTAACACCAGTTGTTTCAGTTTCTTTTTGTGTCCTAAAGAACTTTGTAGCCACTTGGCCAGGGCTCGGCTTTGTTGAGGGGTTCTGCTGTGGGTTGGCCTGGGGTCCCTCGGCTCAGGACATGCCCTGCGTGAGGCTCTGCAATTGCCTACACTCACGTGGTGTTCCCCAAGCTCAGTTGGGCAGGTGAGGGAGCCCACTTCCATTGGGATGCCCATGCTCCACTAGCTGCATTTTCCAATGATGAAGCCAGCTGCACTGCCTGTTTGAAGTTCAGTTGGGCTTCAGCTAGTAGGTGCTTCTGCATGGTTACATCATTAAACCCACATACCAAACGGTCTCTTAGCATCTCATTCAAGGTTAATCCAAAATTACTTACCTCTGCCAGTCATCATAACCTCATTAAAAATCCTGATACATATTCTCTTGGTTCTCTAACAGCTGAATAAAACCGATAGTGTCTCAGGATTAGAGGAGGTTTGGGGTCGTAATATTCCTTAACCAATGCTGTCAACTCTTGGAAGGTTTCAGTATGTGGTGCCTCTGGGAAAGTTAAGCCCCTTGTAACCGAAAATGCTGTGGGTCCGCATGCAGTCAGGAGAATTACTCGTTACTTTTACCATCTGTTCCAATGTCATTTGCCCAGAAAAAAGTATCACATTCTTTCCAAATACTGGGCCCAGTCTTCGACAGCAGGGTCAAATGAGTCAAGCTTCCCAAATAAAGACATGACACCAGAAATGCTTACCCCAACTCCAAGATGACTGTTGTAAGCGAATGTTCTTCAGGCATGTTCTGTTTTCTCCCGTCGCCACTGAAATAACTGCACAGAGGCCTGTATCCCATCACCAAAGTCACCCTTTATTTACTTGTGCGCAGTACACTGGCTGTGGTCAGCCAGCTCAGGGTCAGTCTTCAACTGAGGAGATTCTCATCTCCTGGTTATATTAGTCAGCTAGGGCTTTCCTGATCGGTGTTGTTAACCTGGGCCAATCAAGAGTCTCGTGGTTAACAAGGTCCACCTAGTCCCAATCATGACACCCACCATGGTAAAACCGGAAATTAAGAGTCTAATGATGACTATGAAAACATTGTCGGTTGCCAGGAAAAACCCATCTGGTTCACTACGTCCTTTAAGGAAGCAAACTGCCATCCTTACCTCGTCTGACCAACATGTAGCAAGTTAATAAAGCATTTGCTTCTATCCTTTCAGGCAGTACATTTCAGATGACAACAATTCACCTACTGGGAGAGACAAAGTGGTTTATTTTGAGGATCATTAAAAATGACCCAAATCCGGGATGGGTGAAGTGCATGGGTTGGCGTGAAGTGCACGAAGGTAGGTGAGACATGAATTGGCAGTAGGTAGACAGGCTGAGGCAGATGGGAGAAGTGAGGGCTGGAGAGTCTCATATTGAAACAAAAATGGGGACGAATGCGCTGAATGCAAATTACGGTTTCTGAAGCATGTTTTCCCATAATAGGCGTGCCAAGTCAGAAAATTTCCCACTTCTCTCCTTGAACATGAAAATCCAAGCCAATTTCTCTTTATTTGATCTCATACTTTTGAAGGAGAGAGAAGAGATCACTTTGGGATGGACTGAGTTGAAGAAATGCATGTGGTGAGGTGTTGTGAACTTAGTGTTGATGATTCGATGTCTACAGAGTCAGTTTGGGTTGAGGTCCGGAACAAGAAAGGAGCAGTCACTTTGTTGGGGGTTTTTTACAGACCCCCTAATAGTTGCAGAGAAGTAGAGGAGCAGATTGGGAGGCAGATACTGGAAAGGTGCAGAAGTCACAGGGTTGTAGTCATGGGTGACTTCAACTTTCCAAATATTCATTGGAAACTTTTTAGTTGGAATAGTTTAGATGGAGCGGATTTTGTCCAGTGCGTTCAGGAAGGATTCCTGACACAGTATGTAGATAGACCAACACGAGGAGAGGCCACTTTGGATTTGGTGCTTGGCAATGAACCAGGCCAAGTGTTAGACCTGTTGGTAGGAGAGCATTTTGGTGGTAGCAATCATAACTCTGTTACTTATACAATAGTCATGGAAAGGATTGGTACATACAGCAGGGGAAGGTTTATAATTGGGGGAAGGGTAATTACAATTCTGTTAGGCAAGAACTAGGTAACATAAAATGGGAACAGATGCTGTCAGGGACGAGCATGATAGAAATGTGGAGATTGTTTAAGGAATGCATACTATGTGTGCTCGATATGTTTGTCCCCAGTAGGCAGGGAAGATGCAGTCGAGTGAGGGAGACTTGGTTCTCAAGAGAGGTCAAACGATTGGTTAAGAGGAAGAAGGATGCTTATAAAAGGTTTAGGAAAAGAGGATCAGAAAAGGTTCTAGAGGGATACAAGTTAACCAGGAAGGAGCTGAAGAAAGGGCTTAGGAGAGCTATAAGGGGGCATGAGAAAACCTTGGCAGATAGGATCAAGGAAAACTCCAAGGCTTTTTACACATACGTGAGGAATAAGAGAATGACCAGAGAAAGGGTAGGGCCGATCAAGGATTGTAAAGGGAATTTGTGCACGGAGCCTAAAGAGATAGGAGAGGTCCTTAACGAATACTTTTCTTCAGTATTCACAACTGAGAGAGACCTAGTTGTAGAGGAGGACAGTGTAAAACAGGCTGGTAGGCGAGAGGAGGTCGATGTTAGTAAGGAAGATGTACTAGGAATTTTGAGGAAGTTGAAGATAGATAAGTCCCCCGGGCCTAATGGGATTTATCCAAGGGTTCTATGGGAAGTGAGGGAAGAGATTGCAGGGCCTTTGGCGATGATCTTTTTGTTCTCACTGTCCATGGATATAGTGCCGGCTGATTGGAGAGAGGCAAACATCATTCCCTTGTTCAAAAAAGGGAATAGGGATAACCCCAGAAATTACAGGCCAGTTAGTCTTACGTCAGTGGTGGGCAAATTATTGGAAGGGGCTCTGACAGATAGGATTTATGATCACTTGGAAAGGCACAGTTTGATTCGTGATAGTCAGCATGGATTTGTGAGGGGTAGATCATGCCTCACAAACCTTATTTCATTCTTTGAAGAGGTGACTAAACATTTGGATGAAGGTAGAGCAGTGGATGTGGTATACATGGATTTAAGTAAGGCGTTTGATAAGGTTCCCCATGGTAGGTTCGTGCAGAAGATAAGGAGGCATGGGATAGGGGGAAATGTGGCAGATTGGATTCAGAATTGGCTGACCCTTAGAAGACAAAGGGTGGTAGTGGACGGAAAATATTCAACATGGTGGTCAGTTAGGAGTGGTGTACCACAAGGATCTGTTCTGGGTCCTCAACTATTTGTGACTTTTGTAAATGATTTGGATGAAGGAGTGGAAAGGTGGATTAGCAAGTTCACGGACGATACGAAGGTGGGTCGTGTTGTGGACAGGGCGGAGGACTGTTCTCGATTACAAAGGGACATTGATAGGAGGCACAGCTGGTCTGAGAAGTGGCAGATGGAGGTTAACCCTGAAAAGTGTGAGGTGATTCATTTTGGAAGGACACACTTGATAGCAGAATACAGGATTAACGGAAAGATTCTTGGCAGTGTGGAGGAGCGGAGGGATCGTGGGGTTCATGTCCACAGTTCCCTGAAAGCTGCCACCCAGGTGGATAGAGTTGTTAAGAAGGTGTATGGTGTGTTAGCTTTCATTAATAGAGGGATTGAGTTCAAGAGCCGTGAAGTTATGCTCCAGCTATACAAAAGCCTTGTGTCCAGTTCTGGTCGCCTCATTACAGGAAAGATGTGGAAGCGTTGGAAAAGGTGCATAGGAGATTTACCAGGATGTTGCCTGGAATGGAGGGAAGGTCTTACAAGGAAAGGTTGAGAGAGCTAGGGCTTTTCTCTTTAGAACAACAAAGGATGAGAGGTGACTTGATAGAGGTGTACAAAATGATCAGAGGTATAGATAGAATAGACAGCCAGAGACTTTTTCCTAGGGTGGAGGTAGCTATTACGAGGGGGCATACTTTTAAAGTGAGTGGAGGTAGATATAGGGGAGACGTCAGAGGTAGGTTCTTTACTCAGAGAGTGGTCGGGGCGTGGAAAGCATTGCCGGAGAGCGTAGTGGAGTCGGCCTCATTAGGGACATTTAAGCGGCTATTAGATAGGCATATGGAAGATAGTATAAGGTAGGGGTGGAGGTTAGATAGACCTTAGGTTTAGGGTAAAAGTTCGGCAGAACATCGTGGGCCGGCCTGTACTGTGCTGTGCTGTTCTATGTTCTATGTTCATCCAAGGTAGGACTGTCCACCGAATTCACTATTTAGATTCACAGTGAACTACCTATATATTCGTATGGCAGCAGAGGCCAGTACCTTTGTGACAGCAGAAAATTGGTACAGCTAAAGGAGTAAACCATCTGCAAATTAAATATGGAAAACAGAAGTGTACTGTTCTATCCAAAATAGCTCACTTACCACCTTGTGGAAAAGACTCCATAGAAGACAGTGGATTTTGTGTCACTCTTGTCAGACTGAAGAGTAAAAACATCATGAATCTTATCAAAAAACATCTCATTGTTTTCATCAGAACACACCAAACGGGCTTTGAGAAAGGAGGTCCATCTTTTCTGGAGTGTTTTTTGACCACCGATGTCTCCCTGAGTAGAGGAATACCTATTAAGATGCTTTGCAATACAAGGATAGCACACCAGGCATGTTATTACATATAGAAAGAGAAATACAGAAACTACAAACAGGAGTAGGCCATTCAGCCCTTCAAGCCTGATCCACCATTCATCACTGATACTCTAACTTAATACTATATTCCTGCTTTCTCTCCAAACCACCAATGTATCCAATACTACCAGGGCTATTTCCTTTAGTGCTCTGGATTATCAGGCTCTGTTAACTTGACAGCCTTTAACATTATTAAATTTCCTACTGCGATATTACTGCTTGACTGTTAATCCAGAGACCCAGATAACGTTCTGGGGACCCGGGTTCGAATCTTGCCATGGCAGATGGTGGAATTTGAATTCAATAAAATATTTGGAATTAAGAATCTAACAATGACCGTGAATCCATTGTCAATTGTCAGAAAAAAAAAACACGTCTGGTTCGCTAATGTCCTTTGGGGAAGGAAACTGCCATCCTTACCTGGTCTGGCCTAGATGTGACTCCAGACCCACAGCAATGTGGTTGACTCTTAACTGGGCAATTAGGAATGAACAATAAATGCTACCTAGCCAGCGACGCCCTTGTCCCATGAAGGAATAAAGGATGTCCACAATGACTCGCACCAATTTTTTTGGTGGGTGATAGAAAGCACCTCATATCTGAATGCATCACAGCTCGGTATGGCAACTGCTCTGTCCAAGACCGCAAGAAACTACAGAGAGTTATGAACGCAGCCCAGTCCATCCCATAAACCAGCCTTCCATTCACAGACTCCATCTATACTTCCTGCTGCCTTGGGAAGGCAGCCAACATAATGAAAGACCCCTCCCGCCCCATTATACGCTCTTCCACCCTCTTCCATTGGGCAGAAGGTACGGAAGTTTGAAAACATGTACCAACAGATTTAAGAAGTCTCCTGACTAAACCGCCTGCAGGAACAGAAGCAGTTACCATCAACACAATGGTTTGCATTCAGATAGCCCAGCTCAGTTTTCGTCTGACTCTGAGCTGAAGCTCCTCAAACCACAGACAAAGAGAAATGAAAAACTCACTAGGCAAGAAGAGGGGTGAGAGAAAACTCACCGTGCACTGTTGTCACCTGTAACAAATGTGACAGAGACTGGTAAACCAGAGTGGGGCTCCTGAGCCACACCAGGCAACACCTAATAGTTAACTGTGTAAGTGAAATTCATCGTTGCAGAAAAAGACTGTCAAATACATGCTATTGGAAACCTTTGCGTTTACTCCTTAAAACTGAATATAGGGGCAGGTGAATAGAAATGAAAATCACTCGGTGACTTTTTTGCAATGCCTCAGAATTGTAGAGTAAGTTACATGGAGAAGACTCTTTCTTTTGTCAGTGACTGAAATTAGTGGTACATATGCTGGTGCTAAAATCCCCAAACAAATATTAGTGGCTTTACCTTACCCTTTCTTTCACTTCAGGTTCCACTTTCACTGTCAATCCAACCATATCCCACACATATTTCATATTATTTCCAGTTCCATTTATCTTAGTTGTAGGGTATGTTCAGCGTGGTTTTGCTCCAAGCCTACAGCCTCGCATGAGTTATGCAACAGGTTCACTCAGAAGTCAGTACTACTGATTTTCAGATGAAAACCATGTACCTGTTGTAAGATTCTGCACCTCGCTTCACAAAAACCTATCCTCCTGTATGTGGCAACAGTGGCCTTTGTTTCTTTCTTTGGAGAGGGCAATTTGGGGCTGGTTGGCTGGCGATGGCATAGTGGTACTGTCATTGGACTAGTAATCGGATGGCGGCTGATGGGCCGGGAGCGAATTGGGGCCAGCCATTGGGCCACAGCAGAGTGGGGACAGGCACCAGGCCAGGAGGGAGCGAAGTGAGCCCAGAGCGAAGATGGCTACTGGTTGGGAACCAGTGGAAGTCCTTATAGAAAGACTGTAATGTCTATCTTTTTAGCTTTATTTCTTATTTTCCTAATTTATACTATGTATATCTGTAATGTAGTGTAGCTTCTTGTCTTTATCTTCTCTATTTTTATTGTACCTAAGACTTGTACCTTCGTACTTTGTACCTAAGATGGCTCTGTGTGTTGGTGACATTGTACGTTTTTGTAATTTGAAAACACGTGGGAATAAACCTAATTCTAATTATAATCCAATGACCCATTAATGCTCAGTCTTAAATCCCATTACAGCAGATGGTGGGTTTTGAATTCAAAAGAAATCTGGAATTAAAGTCTAAAGATGATCAGAAGATTTTTTTTGGTTACTTCTGGTTCACCAATATCTCTCAAGGAAGGAAATCTGCCAGTGATAATTGGGTAACTTCATTTAAAGGCATGATAGTAGATAGGCAATGGCTAATATTTAAAGTATTATTGTATGCATTGCGACAGTTCCTTTCTCAAGCTAAAATACAGCAGGAAAAAAGGCCCAAACACGCCAACAAAAGAAATTATGGATATATTACATCCAAGCGGGGTCATTTAAAGTAGCTACAGATAGTAGCAAAACAGAGCATTCGAGCAATTCATTAAAGGAGCACCAAGAGATTGCACAGCAATTTAACAATTACTTTAATTTTGTCATTCTAAAAGTGTGTTTAAGCTGTTCTATCTTCTGCCTGATGGAAGAGGTTGGAAGAGATTATAACCAGGACGGGAGGGGTCTTTAATGACGTTTGCTGCCTTTCCGAGGCAGCGAGAAGTATAGATGGAGTCAATGGATGGAAGGTTGGCTTCCATGATGGACTGGGCTCTGTGCACCTATAGAAATGGGTAAAAGTCATTGTGGACATGCTGAATTTCCTTAGCCTCCTGTGGAAATAGAGGCAATGTTGTGCCTTCTTGACGGTCATGTTAATGTGGATGGTCCAGGACAGATGGTTGGTGATCGTCACTCCTAGGAACCTGACGCTCTCAACCATCTCCACCCCAGCTCCACTGATGTAGACAGGGACGTGCCCTCCTCCTTGCTTCCTGAAGTCAATGGTCAGCTCTTTAGTTTTGCTGACATTGAGGGAGAGAGTGTTATCTTTACACCATGCCACAAAGCATTCCATCTCTATCCTGCATTCTGTCTCATTATTGTTTGAGGTCCGTCCTACAACAATGGTATCATCAGTGAACAGCGAATGGAAATGAAAGCTCATAAATCCCTAGATTATAGATATTATTGAATCATAGAGTCATACAGCATGGAAACTAACCCTTCAGTCCAACTAGTCCCCACAGACCATGTTCCCAAAACAAACTCGTCCCACTTGCCTGTGTTTGGGCCATATCCCTCCAAACCCTAACCTTGATGCTGACCCTGTCCCTGACCCTAACCGTATTAATGTACTTAGCCAAAAATCTTTTAAATGTTGTAACTGAACCTGCATCCACCACTTCCTCTGCTAGTTCATTCCACATATGAACCATTTTGTGTGTTAGAAAGGTGGCCCTTATGTCTTTTTGAAGTCTTTCTCCTCTCACCTTAAGAATATGCCCTCTAGTTTTGAACTCCCCCACCCTAGGCAAAAGACCTTTGCTATTCACCTTAACTATGCCTCTCATGATTTTATAAACCTCTATAAGGTCACCCCTCAACCTCCTACGCTATAGTGAAAAAAGTCCCAGCCTATCTTTAAAATGCAAATCCTCCATTTCCGGCAACATTCTGGTATCTCCTTTCTGAACCCTCTCCATTTTAATAAGATCCTTCATATAGCAGGGCAACCAGAACTGTTCTACTTGCCCTACACACAGTACTCCAGAAGAGGCTTCACCAACGTCCTGTACAATCTCAACTGACGTCCCAACTCCTATACTCAAAAGGTCTGAGCAATGAAGGCAAGCGTGCTAAATGCCTTCTTAACCATCCTGTCTACATGAGAGGCAATTTTCAAAGAATTATGTACCTGAATCCCTAGGTCTCTCTGTTCTACACCACCACCCCAGGGCCCTATCCTTAATAGTATGTGTCTTGCCGTTGTTTGTTTTACCAAAATGCAACTCATTTGAATTTATCCAAATTAAACGCCACCCGCCACTCCTCAGCCCATTGACCCAATTGATCAAGATCCCTTTGTAATCTTAGGATAACCTTCTTCACTGTTGACGGTACCACTAATTTTGGTGTCACTTACTAACCACGCCTCCATTAGATTCCGCAGCACATTTTCTCCAGTGATATTGGAGGAACGGTAAGACCTGATATTAGTCTAGAAGCATTATCGATCTTGTCCTTTTCTCACATATCCCTTTTGGGGATGGAGGGGCAGGGAGTGCATACCTTGCAAACACGGGCCACTCTAGGAACGCGTACCACCTTGTAGTACTCAAATTCCCGGGCAGTCTCGCTGAAGAAGAAGTAGAGTTTGTCATCATCACTGGTACCATAATCCGCTCTGATGAATGTTGATCCCACAAACTCTGGGTCTGAGGAGAGAGATGAAGTTTGATCATGAACTGACAGTGTAAAGAACCACATACCTCTTCAACATTTACTGAGTGTACGTAGATAGTGAAGCAGAATGTCTCATGAATTTCCACAAGTCCAGAAGGTGATGCTTCACAACGGAAAGCAATATTTTAATAATAATGAAACCAGCTTCCACCCTTGCCTGAAGCAAGTTTGTCCCTCCTCTCCTGAAGTTACTACACACCTTTCCTCACTTCCAAAATGTGCAGACTACTGGATTTCTTTGTCTTAAACAATCACTGAAATAGCATGCAGGAAATCAAGCCCCACTATTCTCATCACAAAAATTAAGGGTTTTAAAAGTATGCAAAATTTCCAAATTAACCCATCTTCTTAGTGCCAAGTTGATAGACAGCATGAACAAAGTTTCTGTACTTTTAACAAGAATTACTATTTATAGGGGGAGGCAATGGCCTAGTAGTATCACTATACTATTAACCCAGAAACCCAGGTAATGAACTGGGGACCAGGTTCAAATCCCACTATGGCAGATGGTGGAATTTGAATGCAATAAAATTCTGGAATTAAGAGTCTATGACTATGACCATGAAATTGTTTACTATGATCGGTAAAACCCATCTGGTTCACCAATGTCCTTTAGGGAAGGGAACTGCCTGGTCTGGCCTTCATGTGACTCCAGACCCACAGCAATGTGGTTGTCTCTTAACTGCTCTCTGGGCAATTAGCGATGGGCAATAAATGCAGCCTAACAGATACACCCAAATCCCATTAATGAAAAAAAATTATCTGTTGTTACAGTCTAATCACTGGTAAACAATTATGAACCATTGGTACACAACTACTAAATAAAACTTCATTTCTCTTATAAACTCCTTCTCATACACATTCAGGGGAGAAAAAATGGTGTTATCTACGGAGGGAAATTTGGGAAAGCAATTCTGTAGTCTCTGTTCATAGGATCTACTGAGATGGTTCTTGTGCTGAACAATGCTTCTTGGTCTTCATTTTCCGGATGCTTCCACTGGTTTGCAAGAGGTACATGTTAGCTTATAAAAAAGTCTCCAATTTATTAATTAAAAGTCACAGCTTACAATAACTGCTGGAGGAAAGACATACAGCAATCATAGAGTCATACAGCATGGAAACTGACCCTTTGGTCCAACCAGTACATGTCGAACATTATCCCAAACTAAACGAGTCCCACCTGCCTGCTCCTGGCCCATATCCCTCCAAACCTTTGCCTATTCATGTACTTATCCAAATGTCTTTTAAAAGTTGTAATTGTAGCTGCATCCATGACTTGCTCAGGAAGCTCATTCCACATGCAAACCACCTCCTGTGTAAAAAGAATTTGCCTCTCATGTCTTCTTTAAATCTCTCTCCTCTCGCCTTAAAAATGTGCCCCCCAGTCTTGAAATCCCCCACCCTTGCGAAAAGACAAGTACCATTAACTCTATCTATATCTGTCATCATTTTACTAACTTCCTCTCAACCTCCAGTGAAAATAGTCCCAGTCTATCCAGCTTTTCTTTATAACTCAACCTTCCATACCAGGCAACATCCTGGTAAATCTCTTCTGAACCCTCTCCAGCTTGATAATATCCTTCCTGTAACTGGGCGACCAGAACTCGACACTGTATTCCAGAAGAGGCCTCACCAATGTCCTGTACAGCCTCAACATCCTTTTAAAACAGAGACAACACATTGTGGAGCTGGAGGAACATAGCAGGCCAGGCAGCATCAGAGGAACAGGAAAGCTGACGTCTTGAATTTCTGAAGAAGGGTCCCGACCAGAAACGTCAGCTTTCCTGCTCCTCTGATGCTGCTTGGCCTGCTGTGTTCCTCCAGCTCCGCACTGTGTTATCTCAGACTCCAGCATTGGCAGTTCTTATTATCACTGAATGGTTTTAAAACAGTTCTTTTCCCATTTAAGACCTCAATTAAAAATACAGCTAAATGAAAAGACACAGTTTTTACAATTCTTTTGTTCCAAGCTCACCAAGCTAAAACACCAAATTCCAACCATCACAATATAAACCATATCCATCCGGGCCTCAGCACATTGGTTGCTGAAAGTTTATTTGATACTTTATTTCATCCAAAAATTCTACTACTGTATTCAGACACACAACTAGTCCCATTCTCTCATCACCTCACGCTTAATGCTCTTGACCTAGTAATGCTTCAATTTTAAAGCACCACCTCCTGCCATTGCACAAAGAAAGGAAGTTGTTGCTGCTGCAATCATCTCTGTGCATCTGCTGCCTCCAGTTCACTGTCTCGCTCGCTGCCTCCCACTGGCACCCCTATTCTTTGCTGCCTGCTGTCTGCCACTCACCATCCCATTCTCCACCCCACTCACTGCTTCCCTTGCTGTCCAGCTTGTGGTCTGACTCAGGAAGGGGTACAGCAAGTGAGGAGATAAGTGAGGCAGCGACAGCTCGAGGCCTGGGAGGAAGACAGTGAGAAAGTTGACAAGAGGGACAGTGAGTGGAAGGTGAGAAGGATGGTGATCGAGGAGATACGGTGATGAAGGTTACTGTCCTTGACATCAAGGCTACACTTGCCTGAGTGTGACACCAAGAAGCAAGAACAAAATTGGAACTCAGTGGGTATCAGAGGAAAAATTCCTTGCTGATTGCAGTCATACCTGACCCATAGGAAGACGGTTGCAGTTGTTGGAGGTCAGTCACGTCAGTTTCAGGACACTTCTGAAAGTGTTCCTCAGGGTACTATCTTCACATGCTTCATCAATGACCTTCCCTCTATCATGAGGTCAGAAATGGAGACGTTTGCTGGTGTTCACCACCATTTGCAACTCCTCAGGTACTGAAACAGTTTACGTGCAAATGCTTGGGCTAACATTCGTGTCAAACATGTGCCAGGAAATGACCATCTCCAACAGAGTCAGAAGTTACACAACACCAGGTTGTAGTCCAACAGGTTTATCTGAAATCACAAGCCTTTGGAGCGTAGCCCCTTTGTGAGGTGAAGTCAGACAGAAGCACATAGACACAGAATTTATGGGCAAGAGAGAGATCAAGAGCAGAGGGATTAAAAGACCATACAAATGGTGTGAGTGGAGTGCCGAATAATAACTCCCTGCAGGTGATCCAAAGTGTTAGATGGTGTAAGGAAGGTGTCAACAGCTGAATAACAAGTGAAGGGATGACCTATAATCCAATTAAATGAGGCAGAGAGATAACTACAAAAAATTAAAAATAAAGTGGTGCTAGAGACAAACCAAATGACTGGAATAACACGATAGGTCACATGCCGAGGTACTGACCAAAGTAACAAGTAATCCAAAACTATACAAACTAGTCGCATGCTGAGGGAGTCACCAAAGTCATAAGTAATCCACCAAATTTGTCACCATCACCTAGATAATTTGTTATGATCCTTAAACCTTAATTAGTTTGTACAGTTTTGGATTATTTGTTACTTTGGTTAGACCCTCGGCATGTGACTCTTGTACCTATCATGTTATTCCAGTCACTTTAATTCTGCAAATCTGCAAGACCCAATCAGGGAGCCCTGGCTGACATAAAAAGGCTGAGTGTCAGAGATACTGACACTCTGGTGTCTGAATCAGTATAATGCAGTACTATAGTCAAGGACTGTTCATGTCTAAATAAACAGTGACTTGGTAATGGGATACCAGCCTCTGCAGAGTTATTTCATCCAGCATCTGCAGTATTTTACATAGAAACATAGTAGGATAGGAGCAGGAGGAGGCCATTCAGCCCTTCAAACCTGCTCCGCCATTCTTCACGATCATGGCTATTCGTCCAATTCAATAGCCTAATCCTGCTTTCTCCCATAACCTTTGATTCCATTCATTCCAAGTGCTATATCTAGTCACTTCTTGAATATATTTGATGTTATGGCATCAACTACTTCCTGTGGTAATGAGTTCCACAGGCTCACCACTCTTTGGGTGAAGAAATGTCTCCTGATCTCCGTCCTAAATCGTTTACCCCAAATCCTCAGACTGTGACCCCTGGTTCTGGACACACCCACCATCAGGAACATCCTCCCTGCATCTACCCTGTCCAGTCCTGTTAGAATTTTATACATCTCTATGAGATCCCCCTCCCCTCATACGTCTGAACTCCAGTGAAAACAATCCCAACCTAGTCAGGTCATACTCCCTAGAATCTTGCATGTTTCAATAAGGTCATCCGTTATTCTTCGAAACTCCAAGCTCAAACTATTCATCTCTCATCATAAGGCTATTTCTCTATCCCCAGAAACAACCTACTGAACATTCTCTAAACTGTCTCCAATCCCAGTATACCTTGCCTTAGATAAGATGACCAAAACTTTGCATTGTATTTCAGGCAAGACCTCCCCATTTTTATACTCCATTTCCTGCAACAGCTCATTTGCCTTCCCTACTACTTGCTGAACTTGATGCTAGTCTTTGTGATTCACACAAGGGGACAACAAATCCCACTGCTCTGCAGCTTTCTGCAGTCTTAAATAATATTTAGCTCCTCTTCTTCCTGTCAAAGTACATAACCTCACATTTTGCCACATTATATTGCATCCTGCTAAATTGCTGCCCACTTGTTTAACATGTCTAGATCACAGGACAGAATTTCTACAGTGCAGAGAACGGCCATTTAGCCCATCAAGACTGCACCAATCCTGTGAAGGGCATCCCACACAGAGACAGACACACCCTTGCGCTATCCACCTAACCCCACATTTACCATGGCTAATCCACCTAGCCTGAATATCCCAAATCACTGGAGACAGTTTACCATTATCAATCCACCTAACCTGCACATCTTTGGACTGTGGGACGAAACTACAGCACCCAGTGGAAACCCACACAGACATAGGGAGAATGTGCAAACTCCACAGAGTCACTCAAGGCTGGAAACGAACATGGGTCTCAGGCACTGTGAGGCAGCAATTCTAAGCACTGACCCACCATGTCACCCCATCATCCATCTTTAGACTTCAAGTCAACCTTTCCTTCCCACCT